GACATATTGTAATAGTATTTTCTTTATTTTTTTGTATTTTTAAATAGTATAAAATATAAATGTAAGTTATGTGATTCTAAAAGCATAGTTTTATCTTTTTTAAATTAGATATTATATTATTTTTATGCTTTTTGCATAAGTAACACCATTTATAATTAGGAACATGCTAGAAATCAGCTACTTTTTTTTTCTAATAATGCTTAGACAAGGCAAAGTTCATAATGTTCATTAATAGCATCATTAGTCTAGAATAGAACAAATAATCCTTAATGTCTTCTCATAAGTTGGCACTATAGTTCATATAAGACAACTATCTATTTACACTACTCTGAATATCATCTATATTATTAGTTAAGGTATTTTCTTAGGAGTAATGTCTTGTATGTCTTATTTGAGGGTTTTTTTACAAAGACAACCTAGCAGTTCAAGTAACTGTCAAATTTGAATTGAAAAATCACTTAAATAGGAACGTTATATCTATACTTTATTCAACTAATACCAAAGGATTTAAGAATAGTATCACAAGATTTGTCAAATAGTAAACTTCTAAAATGACCATCATATTATTTTGTGAAATTAAACCTGATTTCTAATCCTTTTGACAATTCAATTAAACAATACTGTAGCATGTAATACAATCTATTATTACTATTGATTTAATTTACTAAATTCTGATTAATCATTTTTTTTATTTGTGTAAAAAGTCCTTATAATGTAAGATGTAAAGTTGTATCTATTATAGATCAAATAATAAAGATTAAGTATCTATTAATTTAATATTTTATTTGTATCTACATATTCTAATACTGTAGATATGATTAATGTTGATTGATAAATCAATCAATCAGATTTATATGTATATTAGTACATATGCTCATCAGTTTAGTGATAAAGAAATTCTTATAAAATCATCTAATTTTATGTATTATATGATAGCTAAACTGATAGCCTATCTCTGTATAATGAAACTTTAGCTTATAGAAAACTTGCAGTTTTATCACTAAATCAGGATTTGTATTTTCTTAGAAATCAGCTGATTAGGTAAGAGGCTGAAGTATTTTCTACAATTAGGAGGTATAATTTTTTTTTATAATAATGATTTACCTTTTATAGTAAATAATAATTTACTATTTATTTATTAAAATTATTTTTACAATTATCTTAGCATTTATTAGTCTAATTTGGATAAAATTTTTTATTTTATAAAGCTTAATAAGGGTTTTAAAATAAAAAAAAATATTTATAAAGATTGAATTACTAGATGACAAAATATTTGTATAATTTCTGTTATTTTTATATATATTAAAAGGTTTTTTACAATTATTTTAGTATTTAATAATATAATTTGAATAAATATTTTTTTATTTGATAGAGTTTAAAAAAACTTATAAAACAAAAAGTTCCTATCACTAACAAGATAAATACTAAACACATTTGTATGCTAACAAATACACTTGTAATAATTATTCTATTTAATAAAACTCTATTGTTTACCTATAATCACATTTATCTCTAAAAATACTCTTGGATTGTAAACCTTCAGAAGCTCTTCATAAATTGTATCATAAAGTCTTAATGTTAAATCCTTTATTAATCTAATGTTAATACTAATTTTTAGTTATTAGTATCATAAGATAATAGTATCTTAATTCAGTAGGTAAGCCACGAGTTTTCTATAAGCTAAATTTATTATATAATGGTAGACCATAATTCAGATATCAGCTGATATATAAAACTGTATGATTTTTATAAGAATTTCATTATATTTAAACTAATAGATATATATACTAATATACATATAAATCTGATCATTTGATCTATTGATCAATGTTGATCATGTTTAAATATTATATAGCATTAGAATATATAGATGTAAATAAAGCTAGAAATCAATTGAAACTTAGCTTTCACTGATTAGTCTGTAATGAATACAATTTTATATCTCATCCTATAGGGGCTTTTTATAAAAATAAAAGAAATGATTAATCAGAATTTAGTAGATTAGATCAATAGTGATAATATACTGTATTACATGTCACAGTATTGTCTAATTAAGCTATCATAAGGATTAGAAGTCAGGTTCAATTTCTATGTTATTTTGACAAACTAAGTATGATGATCAACTCATTAGTTCACTATTTAGGTAAATCTTATGATACACAATTCTATGAATTCTATAATATTAGTTAGTAAATATATAGGTATGATGCTTCTATATGATTTGAGTGATCTCTCTATTCATTTCTGATAGTTATTGTATCTAGACTCTAGATTATCTATGCAAAAAGCCCTTATAAAAGAATACACAGAATGTTATTTTCTAATAAAAAGAAGTCTTAACTAATAGTACAAATGATACAGTCTGGAGTAGTGTTTAAGTAGTTGCCTTATTAGCTTAGTATCAACAGAAAACTTATAGATTTACATATTGCAGACTTAAATTTATGGGTTTAGGCACCGCCTTCTATCTGATATATATCTAACTTTAATTATTATTAAAAACAAAAAAATATATAATCAGCTGATTTTTAGCAAACCCTTAAATTCAATATAATATACTTTAAATATGTATATAAATATAATATAATTCACATAATCTATATAGATAAAATATAAATAATTATATTAACAGTCACATTAATCATGATCTGACTTGAATCATATCAAGTGATTGTTAGTTATTTCTAATATAACAGTTATGACTAATGATTATAGGTTACATATATAATAATTAATATTATTTTAAAAAAGTAAAATAACGCAGTCATGTTCTATCATTGTGTATATTTGCAAATTATTTGGTGACAATAAAAATATTTCATTTTTGTTTATTATTTATTATATAATTTATGTAACTTTCTATTTCTTGATCAAGTTTTATATTATAAAGATAAATATAATTAATAGTATTAAAAAAAGTTAAGATTAACTGTTTCTATAATTTTTACAACTTTTATTTATTATTTTTTTGATTGAGTTTTTTTTTAAATAAAGGTATAATACAAATATAAAATAAATTAATATTTATATAAAAAAAAATAATAGTGATTGCAATAAAGTAATTTTGAATTTCAATCTAAAATTTCAATTTATATAGGAATTAAACATCCTAAAATTGGTAAAAAAAATCAGGTTTTCCTGATAAAAGGATTATCATTCTTTTAATTATTAATCCTATTTAAACTTTACTTTGATTCCAATTTTTCTAAAGTTTCAAGGTTTTTGATTTTATCTATGTTTGATTTTTGTTTGATTATGACTGTCCAAATCTGGTTTTTCCATCATAGGATTTTAGGTATCACTGGAAAATCCTGTTTGTTCTAGTATTTCCATTGGACAAATCCCAAAGGCTTGGCAAGTATATGTACAGTATCATCACAAAATTTTCATCCCAAATGATTTAGTAACCCTCCATTTTTTCATTTTTATTAAGTATTCTAAGAACTTGGATTTTTTTTTTGTTATTTGTCACGCCTTTTACGGAGATAAGCCAGCTGATTTAGTGAAAATTTTTGTGGGATTATATTAAGGAAATAATGGAAAGGCATAATATTGTGCCATAGTTAATACACACGATTATTTGTGAAGTAGTATATATAACAACCAATCCTTTTTTACCAACTATATCTCTATATCATTCTTTTCCACAGAAAATTTTGTTAACCCAAAGTTCTGTAGTAGTTCGGGATCTACTACAAAATTTTGAGCAAAAATTAGCATTCTATTTTTACATTCCGCACACGCTTGCGCCATTGAAACAAGATTACGGAGAAATTATCATATACGAAAGATCAACGTGTGCATACAGAATTATTCCGATGATTTTTTTTCGATGATTTGGCAAGATCGTTTAGATTTTATTGGTTTCGCTATTTTCGCACGACATTTATATTTTGATCGACATATGAATTAAAGTAGAATAATCGAGAATTATATAATACGATAGTATAGGTCAATTTTTAGTTTCACTGCAGGGCTTGCATTTAGACGGAATATTTATTTGTAATTCCGGTATTTATAATCTTTTCAAATGGGTTAAACAATTGAGTTATAATTAATTTATTTGACTACGTTTTTTAAAGTTTAAATCTTTTTGTCATAAAAAAAAATTACCACGTATAATCAAAGTCAAATACTCTTGTAAAATTTAATCTTGACATTTATTTAACCTTAATAAAAATTTCAAGTGAAAATAACCATCCAGAATGCTGAGAATGAAATATCTTATTATTTTAAAACTTGTCCATAAGTACGTGCAATCATTACTTTCGCATATATATTAATAATTTCCTTTGCTTCTTTTTTGATGGTGGCTTTTCATTCATAACTTCGTTTATTACCAATTTGGATACCCTCGCAAGAAAATCAATCATCGGGATTGAATATATTATAATCTAATTTTTTTTTAAACCTAAATATTCGCTTTTTCGACAATCTAAAATTGGAATAATATGCATTTTTAATGTACATAAAGTATATCACATTATATATAAATTGATCATCATATTGCATTTTGTTCTAAAAATAAACTGCAAACAATGAAAACTAAATTCTGATTTCTCAAAAAAGCAATAATTTACCGGAGACATTTTGCTAGTCCATGACCCATTTCTTTACAAGTTGATCTAAAAATAAAAACAATGCAAAAGCTTGCATTTATAAGCTTTGTTCATTTCTAAAAAAAAAAAAAATTGTAACCAATCATATCGCGCATGAATCGATGAATCGTAAGCAAATTCATTAATATTATGATTGCATTTTCATTGTCGTAGTAATAGTAAAATATATGATTAATATACCAAAGTGATTTTTATAACTTTATAGTCTTTATTCGGCTTAATATTATTAAACTTATTCATAATGTTTATATGTCTATATTGTATGCTATTTACAAATACTTAAAACAATCTTTATATACTAAAGTCCTTAAAAAATATTTATATAATGAAAAGTAAGAAAAGAAAAGAAAAGAAAGAAAATTCTATAAACGCCCTCCACTTTTAGAATTCGAATCCTAAATCAAAATTTTCCGAATTTATAATGCAAAAAGCTTCAGCCAATGTCATATCCAAAGAGGAAGACCGAGGATTATTATAAGTTACATGTTCTTTTAAATCGTCTATTGATGTAGAAGAAGAAATATCAAATAATCCATCAAATGTTAAATCAGAATACATTTCCGAAAAATCATTTATGGGTTGATTAAGATATTCTTGAAAAGAATTTGGCAAATTTACATTGTTTAATTCTTCTGTTAAATATTCGTCGTTTGTTTGTATCGGACTTGTTTCTGTGATAATGCTATCGAATTCTGATAAATTAGGTGATGATCTCGATGACGACGATGATGAAACTGGTGTTGATGGTGAAAGTAGTAAATTTGGAACATTAATTGTCGTTGAAGTTTGAGTTAATTTTTGAACGTTTTTGAATTTATTTTCTGTTAGGTTCGTCTCGTTACTATTATTATCGGATGATTTATTTTGAAAAGAAACGAGGTTCCATTTATCTTTACGCTTTCTTCGATTGGATTTCTTTGGGTACATTTCTTTAATTAATTTGTGAGTCTCTTTGGCAATTCTCTTGTATTCTTCTTTGACCACAACATTTTCTTGGTCCCAAGATGCAGAAGCCATTGACGAGATAAGTGTCATGGGTAACATATATCCTTGGTCACGTGTGGCTTTAACAAATGCTTTGCGGTAAATTATGAAAGCATTGGGAGCTCTGGATGGTTTACCATCTGGATTCTCTTGTAAGGATTTCTTCTTGATAATCAAATCCTTTGGTTCAATTAACGGAGGAAATGGTAAGTTTACAATTGGATAATTCTTCTTATCAACGACCAAGTTGGTGAATGATGATAAATTTGGTTGAAATTCATCAACGTTGATATCATTGAATGAAAATATTTCTTGAATCTGTTCGCTCATTTTTTGAATTTTTTCTTGTTTAATTGATAAAATTACTTGATAAATTATAATTTTTGCTTATTATCTAAATGTTTTTTTTATTTTTTGTTTCTATTTTTTTTCCTTGAATTCACCCGGTATATTTATGCTTTTTTTTGCCGAGGATTCTAGACATTGACTAATTATTGTCGATCATTTTTATTTTAATGTCACGGTGATTATATTATATCCAAGCCTCTCTCTTTTTAAGGCCAAGGAATTCGATATTCTTTTTATTCCATTTGACTTTTCTTTTTTTTCAAAAAATTTAAAAATAGATACTATTGTGAATAAAACCTTTTGCTTTTAAATTACAAATCATAAAATATAAAAAAAAAAGAAAAAACCAAAGGAACTTGCGGCACATCATTTCAATGTTTAAAATGTTTGAATGTCTATCAATTTTAGCAATTATTGGATTTTACAGAAGGTTTTTAATAAATATTATGTCTCTTGATAATGAATATCTTAAAAAAAAAAATTTTTTTAATTATGGAAACAACTATATTTTTTACATTCATTAATTTCAAGTTCAAATTAGTTCAATTGGATTCTCTTAATGTAAAAGAGTCATCATCAAAAACGCGAAATGATGAGATAAAATCACGTGTGCTCCTAACCTCCATAAACTAATTAACTAATTAAACTATTTAAAAATCTGAGGAGCTACTTTAATCCGCGCATTTATCATGCCCGTAAAATATTCGTTAATGTCACATGCGATAATTTTCCCGATTCCCGACTCGGCAATACGGTTAATATTTTTCCCTTACCGAATTACCTAAAAATATCATCGGCCGCGGCTTAGCCGCTGAAACCTGTTTTACTAATCCTGCCGCAGGTCAATCCAATACTCTAAAATATCCACACCACATAACTAGAAAACTCTCATTTTTCCTTAGAAATAATTAATGGTTGTAAAATTTTTCCGGTCAACCTGATAACACTTAATTTGCGTATGCACATATTAAGGATTAAAATCAATTATTTTTTCTCTTTTACATTATAATTCCTAATTCCTAATAGATGTAAATATAGTTATCATTAAATTTATCATGTGAGATAAATTTACATTGTCATTTTATTTGAATGTTCACATAATTCTTTAAAATGCTAATTAAATAAAAAAAATACATTAAGTTAATAAGTTCTTTCAATTCAAAATAAAAATAGTTTTATGAAAATTTGAACCTTTAGGAACATCTTCCGCGACGCCGAGATTTAGAAAGTTCGACACTATGGCCAGCATTTCTCTTGATTTTGTTTCTTCCTGTTCTGCTTTTCTTATCGTCATTTCATAGCATTATTTGAGCTTCTGATGTAAGTTTTTGGCTTTCTTGGGCGACGTTTAACTTGTGACAATACTTGAAAATCAGTAACTTGGGTTGGGTCAATATAAGTGGTTGTTATCCTTTGCCGTGTCCTAGAAGTCTCTTGATCTGTTTCAAGTCGAATTTTCTTCGACTCTTTATCACATTTTTGACTTTCCTCGGCATAGACGTCAGAGTTACGTTTATTCCGTGAACCTGATAAATTCCTTCGGGGATTAAATGTTCCATTTGCAAATTCATCTGTAAAGAGTAAAACATTTGAAACATATATATTTTCTTGTTTGGTTGAAATTTCACCTGATATGTTATATCTTTGATCGAAAAGGCTGTCCAGTTCATTCTTGTATTTTTTCCTGAAAGCAGGTCTTTCTGATGAACTTGATGCGTTTGACCGATCAGGTTTGCCGTTACTTTCCGCTTTTTTAACATGATTCGTCATCAAAGTCGAATCTTGATCATTTGTATGACCTGTAAATGCTGTGAAATCGTCATCGTCCAAAATGTTTATTATTGAATGATCTTTGAAAGTTTCTTCTTGAGAACCTTGGTTATCAATATCGTCATTGAAGTGTTTTACCGGATATTCAGCCTTTTCGTCATCAAGAACAATAAATGTGGGATTTGTAATCGATTTTACTTGAATTAAGTTTCTTTGGTCACGATCATCAGCGATTGTCTTGAAATCTACTATTGGATTTTCATTCAAAAGATTCATGCCTCCGTCCATTAAAGTAAATGTAGAATTTTTAGATAATACATTATTGTCAACCTCTAAGTAATTCAAGCTCAAATCCTTGTCAAAATCCCAGTCGAGATTATCGGCCATCATATCGAAATTGGTGGGAGCTCCTGCTGGATTTGTGGCAGTTTTTTCATTATCATCGCCTAATTTAATAACAATAGAATCTGTCGTAAGTTCCATCAAAGGAACATGATTCTCGTCGCTATTATTGTCTAGAGTTTCCGTTGAATTTGTGACCATTTCTTTATTTTCGTCTGATACAATGATATCGGAATCCATTTTGATACCTTCACTTTTAGCGGTATTCATTTCATTGACTTGATTTACCATTTCTTTATCAAATGCTTCAATCATCCAATAATCTTCCTCACTTATTTCATCCAAAGGGATGCTATCTTCATTGTCGAAAATTATACCAAGCACCTTTGATTTTTTCTTTAACATTTGCCATTGAACCAAATCCAAAGTATCTTTGGCGATGATATACTTGATTTCTACGTCGCCGATCCTTCCAATACGATGTGCTCGATTTTCTCCTTGTGCAAGCGTTGACGGGTTCCAACTTAATTCCGCAAATATAACACCATCAGCAGATTGAAGGTTTAAGCCAGTACTCGCTGCAGTAAGAGACAAAACCGCGAACTTAATTTCCCTTTCATTTTGAAATTTTTCAACAAAATCTTGTCTCAATCTAACATCTGTTTGACCATCAATCCTTATAAATCTGATTTGATCTTTACGCAAGACATAACAAATCTGATCCAATACATCTTTATGGTGACCAAATACGATATACTTTTTGTAATCATCCTTAAGACTAAGTAAATAATCTTGAATGGCTGGGACTTTGGCCCTACCTGATTCCTCATATAATTTCAAAAAGTTGGCCCGTTTATCTACCTTTGCTCTTTCTTTCAAATCTCGTAACTCCCTTTTGGATGTTGCAGGAATCTCCACGTGAATTATCTGTCGAGTCTTTGATGGTAAATTCAAGTTTACGTCTTCTTTTTTCCTTCGAATCAAAACGGTCGAGTTTAGGAGCCAGTGAAGTTCTTCCGTATTTTTAGCGTCTTTTGTATCGATATATTCCCTTCCATCCCTATTGATCTTCTTTTCTCCACCACAGAATCGCTTTATATATTGATCATAATTAGGGAATAGAAGTGGGGCAACAATATTGATCTGAGCAAAAAGCTCTACTGGTCTTGATTCTGCTGGTGTGCCTGAAAGAAGGACTACTCTCTTTGACTTTCTCATAAGAGGGGAAAGCTTCTTCGTCCGTTCCGATTGACGATCCTTGAGAGAATGAGATTCGTCAGCGATCACGATTTGGAATCGTCCTATCCAACCTTGGCGTCTTTTTGCCAATTCATAGGAGATGATCGTAAAACGCGCATGATCTTGATTCACTTCCTTTCCATTTCTTACGAACCATATTTCTTCATCTTTAGCTCCAACCCATTTCTTGATCTCGACCTGCCAGTTTCCGGCAACCGAAGCAGGGCAGATAACAAGGACTTTCCCGTCATCCTTGTAGTATTCCGCGATGGCAAGCGCCTGGATTGTTTTTCCAAGACCCATATCGTCGCCGAGCAAAACTCGACCATTTCTAGAAATAGCTTCTATTACTCCTTCTTTTTGATGTGGTAGCAACGCTTCCCAGAGGCTCCCAATTCTTTCTTTAACCTCACATTCATCAACACGAGGTTTGGCGGCCCTGAATTCGATCGCCTTTTCAACATACCCGGAGATTTCCGCGATCGTCGTGGGTAATTTTTCGTACCCTTTCAATTCCTTGACGGAATTTTCGTATTCTGTCATTGGGATGATCCATCCTCTTCTAGTTGAATCGTAACTGGCACCTTTTCGAGTTCTCCAATACTCTTTGAGGACATGATGATATCCTCTTACTATGAAATGTTCATCATCGTCTAAACTAAAAGTAACTTTTATGGGATAATTATACTTTTTGCCAAATTTTTCATCTGATGGTAACGTGTTATACAGTTTTTCGAGACTGATGCTAGTTGAAGTGAAGAGGGCATTGAAAACCGCATTTTCCTTGGGAACAACATTTGACGACAAAGATGCACTTAATGATGAAGGCTCATTCTGTGTACCTTGTGTGCTTGTTCGAACTTCTTGATCATTATTCAAAGAATATTTGTTTCCAATATCGCTGATAGACTTTGCATTTGTCCCGTTTTTTTGAACCGTGTTAAAGGTACTTTTCAAAGACTGTTCGCCACTTTTTTGTTTATAAGTAAAGAAGCTCGATTGTACGTCCTGTGAACTCGTTGTTCTTTTTGGGCACGGATCTACCCATTCAAAATGTTCACAAGACCTCTCTGGACAACCCCAATAACGATCACGATGCCTCGGGTGATCCTTCTTCACAAAATAACATAACCTAACAGGTTTAGAACATGCACAAAAAGGGCGATCTGGTTGTGATTTTGGAGCCATGAACACGCAAAAGGATAAGGGCACGACTATTGTAAGCAATATCAAGGTCTTGTTAAAAATTTCGATACTCGTAAGGAATGCGGATCGAGTATCTTTGCGGTGAAGGTGTTTCAACTTATAAAAAAAAGGTCTTTTACGTGTGAATGCTTTTGTGTTATAGTCTAAATTGCTCTCCTATACACCATACAACCACCAGTTGAAGAACCAAAGCGTTCTTAGTGTCCTTTCTCGTTTTCTTCTTGTTTCTTTTTACTTTGACAAACAAGAGAAAGGAAAAGCGCGATAAATTCCACGTGACTAGCAAATTATAAATAAAGAACGTGTAATATTTCCTTTTTATCACGATGCACTTAATTAGCCATCACCTATATGTCACTCACATCTTAATAATCACATATTTTTAGGCCGAAGTAGGCCGGAGCAAAGTGCTCATTTTCGCCCCCCGTAATAAAACTCTTCTATTTTCACATCATATAGCTATTTACAACTGTATTTGTAATTTTATACATAATAGCAAAAAGTTCCAGTAAATTTTTTATAAACCAAACAGAAACAGAACGTAGACCTTTTTTCACTTTTTTTTTTTGAACATGGATTCAATAAGAAGGTCAACGAGGTAAACCATATACTGTACAATTGAAAAGTTCTTCTTATATTTCTATTAATTCTGTATTTATACGCGTTTTTCCGCGTTTAATAAAATGTAACTAATAAAGAATACGTAAGTGTGTCGATTATAATAATAAATGCGCTTTACCAACTGACGACGTCGAAGTTTTAGAATCTCCGAGTGGTAGCAAACAGAAAAGAAAAACTCAAGATGATGAAAGTAAATAATGTTTCATAAAGTTATCACTCTTAGTTTACGCGTCTAACTTTTATATTATTTATAGACTCCCTTCAAGGGTCGCCTTCGCGTGCATCCATTCAAAAAATGCCTCATATTGTTGAAAACGAAGCTTCACCTGAACTCGTTCAAACAAGGAAAAAAAAAAAATTGAGCTTGGGTAAAAAGTCGGTGCAAGTAGATTTTTATTTTTTTGTTTCATTTGCAGGATAGATCATATTTTAACCCTTTTTTACCTTTAATAGAGAATCAAATAAAGATAATAAAGAAAAAGAACTTGAGGAGAAATCCGAAGAAACTCCAACATTTGAAGGCGTTCAAGAAATGAATATGGTAGTTATCACGGATCCAACACCAACCAATGTCACTATCAAAAATGGTGCTGAAGATGACGGTAATTATCTTTGTGCAATTCATCCTATTATAAATAACTTCTCATAGACCTCATCACTCTTGACAGATTTATTTGATGGTGGCGAATTAAGCGATCCGTCTGCAAAATCAGAAGATGATTCAGATGATGACCAATTCGTTTTCGATGTTAGTGATGACGCAAGTGATTACGAAGAAAGCAGTAAAAGTAAATCAAAAAAGAAGAGTCCAAATACGGGAAGAAAAACGAAATCAACGTCAACGAAAGAAAACGGTGGAATCAAAAAAAGCAGGGGAAAGAAACAAACTGAATCCACTGCTTCAGCAATAAATACTTCTGAGCCTTCAAATAAGAAGACTGCATCTTCACTTCTATCAAAAAAAACGATTGGAGGATTAAAGGTAAATAAAGTTATTGTGCGAAAAGCATGAATGATTAAACGTATTTAATTGAATTTCTCTCTTACGATAGAAAAAAGCGATAGGAGAATCGATTCCTTCAACACCAAAGTTTGCTTCTGGTAAATATACAAAAAAAAGTGTTAAAAGTTAATTACATTAAATTAGGGTAATATATATATATATATATATGTATATTGGTTGATTTAATTATTTTTTCAATCATTTTAGATTTTAAACCTATTTCAGGTGAGTAATAGTATTCAAAATAACCGAATATGTATATTGATTCAACTTTTTTATAAAATAACCAAATGGTCTGTCCAAAGGAGCTTTGAGCAAAATACCTTCGTCAGGTCTATCACGTAAGCTAAAAGTCAAACCGCTTCATCCCTACTTAAAGAAACAATAAGAATATTCAGGTAGGTAGTTTTGTATTCACTGAACTTCGACAATTATTTATAAATGATATTTAATACGCGTTCCAAAATTTAAACTTCTTATAACAAGAAAATTACATTCAGTTCGGCATGTAATCATTTCGTTATGGATGTTTTTTTACGCGTTAAACTTGAAAGAATGAATGGAATAATAGATCAGAGGTTTAATTACGAACATTTAATTACGAATATCCAACACAATCACCATCAATTAATAATATCCTTATTTGATGATCTTATTCACTGAACATTTGTTATAATCCTTCCATAATGCACTGATAGACATAATAAACGTATATTGAGAACGATCGAGAATGAAATTTTCTTCAATCATTTTACGAGATCGAATTAAATCTCATATTTTGAAACTAAAAAATATTCTTGTGTGCAACATTTATGAAAAATAGGAACGAATATACGATTAATCAAATTTTTCAATACTTTCTTTTTTTTTTTTTTTGTGTTAAAAAAATATATCTATATCCATATCTATATCATCTATACCTATACATTTAAAAAAATATAAACCTGTTATCCATTAAGATATCCGAATATCTCTTTATCTAACAGCATTGCTTTGATATCAGGAAAGGACATTGGGATGGTAATTCTGGTTTCACCATAACGAGTTTTATTCGAAATAAAAATGCCCTGACGGACATAATCCTCCAAGTAGAGATTAAAGTTCTTTTTCTCACGACAAACTAAGTTTTTGTTGCAATAATTGAAAAATTTATTCAAACTTATGACGTTCCAATTTGTGTCAGTTCTCCTTTTGGCTTCAACAATATGATTTGCCAGCGTGTAAAACATTTCACGACGGCGATTATTAAACGACATTAGCACGGACTTTACTTCTTTTTTCTCCAATCCAAAGTTTTGACAGGTTTTCACTAATTTTTTCTTGCTTGCCATTGGTAATTTATAATTTCCATAGCTCGTTATCTCATGAGCATGCCAATTCATTCTATCTACTTCGATAAGGTTCCATATGGAAAAAAAGTTGATACTTTCACTCGTAGCAAGTAAATGGATATTTGGGATGCCGCTGAGTAAGACCAATGCTGTTCTTGCCTCAAGATTTTCAAATACGGAACCGTCTAGATCGTGGATCTAAATTTTTAACGAATGAGGAAAATTTATTAGTTGTGATCGAATAACAAAGGAAGGAAAGAAAAAATAATACTTACAATTATTTTGAAAATTGACTTTACATCAGTAGTCTTAAAATAATCACGAATAAGATCCGCCTTTCTTACCAAAGTAAAATTAGAGTATTTACTTTTAGGACCAAATAAATTCTCCAATAATGTTAAATAGGCAAGATTCAATGTTAATAAGTCGCCATTTCCGTAAAAATGAAACCATGAGATAATTTTCTTTTTATTATAAAAAGCTTGATAAAGTTCTAGGATGCGTTCTTTCGACCCAAATCCGTAGAACAAAATATTTTGATTGAAATTTAGCTGAAATTCCCATTGAGTAAAATATTTGGTAATGAAACTCTCAATCTCATTAAATTCTTCAACGTGTCTTTCAATAACTGAAGAAAGTTCAGGTTCGATATGGATCGAACTTACAATATCGTCTGACGTTTTCTTTGCTCTGAATCTTCCTGCTTGCATTGCATTATCTTCAAAATATCTCTCTGATCCAGTTAAATTTTCTTGAGCTGTTTGAATCTGCTCCGACCTTATTTTTATTTGCCGGGGAGAAACTTTTAAATAGGAAGCTGTGCCTCCTGGGTTAGTTATCGGTATCACTACTCGAGGAAATTCTTTGTCTAATGCACGAAGAGCTGTCACGGCATCCATCTCTTCATCTTGCATTTCTTCTTCATCGTTTTCCGTAATAGATTCTTGTTCTTCTAACACGGGCACATTTACTTGTTCAGAAACCACGAAAGGATTTTCTGATTCGTCTGTTATCTGAATTCCTCGTCGTCTTTGCTTATTTCTTTCTGCAATTGTTTTTCCTCTTGCAGAGCAAGAGGGCAGGAGCTTCTTACTGTTTTCAAGAAGGAATTTGAGCTCATTCGGTATTTTGTTACGAAGTTGAGGCATATCTGCAGTTAAAAAATTTTTCTTTTTTCGTTTGATAAGGGTTTTATAGTTTTTAAGATATTAGAATGATTTACATGTGCTATATTATCGTTTATGGCTTTACCTGAAATTACCAGAACTTAAAATTTACGTCATTCGCGTTTATTTATTTTCTACATACTTTAAATTTTTGTGATCATCTAGTAAATTTGATATTATTATATCGTGACTAAAAACAAAAAAATTCAAGCAACATCATCGCCTGGCATGATGAAATACCATATCAAGCAATTAGCCACTGATGATTACAATCTTCCTTGATCTGCAAAATTAATGAATTCATAATACTTGGGCTATAATTTTTTGAAATAAAGTATATACAGTATATATTATAATATTGACGTTTCCTGCCATAAAATTCTTGACATTCTTGACATTCTTGGCATCATTTTGACCTTTCTTATATGGTGAATAGTTTGATTGATTATTTGATAACCACGCGAAATGAATCCTTCACATAGAAATGAAACGTGTTAGATTTTATATAAAAACGGATCGTCACACTGCATATCACAATGTGATATCTTAGTTAAATTTCAGCTTTACGCGTTAAGAGAAAAACCCTAAATATGTCTTGCAATTTTATTGAGTCCGTTTTAAAGGCAATAGAGACCTCTGGGCGTAATCCTCAGTTAAAGTCACGGCTGAATAATGAAAAAGATTTGATTAAGAGTGGTACGTAGATAGCAATAAGGAAATTTTTAGTAATAAAAAAAAATTAATAATTTCGCGCTTTTTTATGAATAAAACTTCAATATTTAATTATGTAGGTAAACTTTCGAATAGCTTCGCTGGCTGTTTTACAGAGATACTGTTTGATGGAAAAGAATCTAGTAAAGCAGTAGAAATTAGATATGATGATTGTTATAGGAATATTAAAGACGTGGACTGCAAAATCGATGTATGGATTATTTTTTAATTTTGGGGAAAAATCTCATTAATGAATAATTATATTATAAAGTTTTTTTTTGATTTCAATTAGTTATATTGATTTTACCATATGATTTTGTTAGAATTTTTATTTTCAAATGAATGAAGTTACCGTAAATGATCTTTGCAATTTTATCGAAGATACATATTCCGATGAAAATGATATTCATCAGTAAGATTTCAAATGATTTTAATTCTATTTAAAAAGTTGTATAAATCAAATGGTACACATATAAATTGAATTTTAACTTTCTTTTCTTGTTATCAGGTTCTTGAAATCACGAATATCTGGGTTACCGACGGCTTTGGTGTTTGGAGGTATTTTAACCTTTTTTTTTGTTTGCTTTAATTATTTGACCAAAGATTAGTATGATTATTTATTCTCTCATATAGGATACGATCCCTCACGTGAAAACATTTTTGAAAGTTTTTCTCGTTCATTATCTGAAAAACAACGAACCTGTGTCGCGTTGATTGATTCAACAACCGTTTTAAATTTAGAGGATCTGGTGATTCACACGATTAGATATTTTAGATACAAAGATGGATCTTCTTTCAGTGGTTATAATTGTTTCTTTGAAGAAAATAATAAGACAACTTATAGTAGTGATGATGACGAGGAAACGATCAAGGATGATGAGGAATTAATAGAAGATTTTATCGATAAAGGACAATCTAATTATGACGATGAAAGCGATGACGATATGAATTTAGAAGAGGTTAGGGATAATAATTATTAACATGTCTTTACATTTTTTTCTTATATTGACAAATATTTTATAACCAAATCAAGGAAAGTAGTGAAATTGATGAATTAACGTCTCTTTCAGTTAAAGATGTAGTAAGCATACTTTAAATAATTCAAAATATTCTATTTTACCAAGGTTTAATTGAACTTTTTTTCTAGGTTGATATTGAATCATTGACAAAATGGTATGAGGATAATGCCAAAATACACGGTTAGTGGTATTACCTAAATAATTTTACCATTTCATATATTTCAAGATTTTTGATAAAATTTCTTTGTATAATAGGTCTTAGGTCTTTGCCAAAGTTGATTATTATAATTTATAATTTCGATTTGTTAGATCCTGTAATAGCAGAAAAATATATTCAGATTCTCAAGTGAATGCTTCATATTTATTTTGTTTTAATTTTAATTTTATTTTAATTATGGAAATATTAAATCTGAAATTATTCATTTATAGTGAACTCAAAAGCCAGATTCCCATTGTATTATTGTTAGGAATTTCCTCAGGATATAGAGGCATTGATGCTATCCACGAGGGATATTCATATTCGGTGGAACGCTTGCTCAGATTCAAAGAATTTCATTTATCGGATAACGTTCAAAATTTCGATGAGCTTATAACAAGGGTAAATCATATATATATATATATATATATTTTTGATTACATTTCCATTTCATTATTTTAATATTTTAATCAATTTATTAAACATTTGTTAATTCATAGTTTTTCATCAGTAATCATTTTGGCGTCAAAGTTGGTATAAAACCGTACAATTTCCTTAATGATATGTATGGGCGACTAAAAGTTTCTCTTAGGTATTTTGAGTCCTCTATTAAGGTAGATCATTATTATTATTTATCAGAAAATTGATTAAATCGTCAATTAGGTATTAAAAAATTTTCATAATATTTAGCATGTTATAAATTACTATTTCTATTCAAATCCATTAAGTATACTCACAACGATTGACCCGGAAAAGGTTTCATCGAGAGTTGATATATTGAATAAATATCATATGGAAATGATACGTATGCAACCTTCATTTAGAAGGTAATTAAACAATTTTACCAAAATTGTTATTATGTAATAATAATATTGTGTTTACTTATTAATTTTCTTTTATAGATTGGTGGAAAATTTTATTGATGAGCACAGTCAGCCAAAGGTTGCGCGTTCTTTACTTGAGGATGATAATTCTGTCAAATCCATATTACCAATTATTCTGCGTGATATGAAAAATTATCATCAAAATTTCGCTGTAGCATTTGAAATTTTTCATAATTTGCAGCAATGCGTTTGTGATAATCCAAGATTGATCAAGGCAAAGTATGAATTATATTCTTATTCATTAACGCGTCCTGGATTAGGGGAACATGAGCATGTTCGGTATTTGCTGTATGAATTTAAGTGAGTGATTCATTTTCTATTTATTTAAAATTGGTAAACGAATCCGAATTAACTCCCTTTATAACAGAAAATTGAAGTCTCCAGATCTTAAACAATTCCTCGAAAAATTTCGAAATATTCTTGAGCAAAACCTTGAAAATGCAGAATGTGCGAATTTAGAAATTCCAAAAATACGTGAATTTTTTGAAAAATTAGAGCAAATTGAAGACTTATTACAACCTTCATTAAAAATACCACCAAAGAAGAAAAAACGAGAGAAAAGAACCCCTGCCCTCATGCCAAGAAAGTTAGACAGCATACCATCATCAACAACTACTTCACAAGAAATCACCGATAATTTCACGAAATTGATTTCTGAAATTTTCGAATATTTACTAGTTTTTTTCAAGTTAAGTTTTATTATATAATGCAAAACGCCTATATTCTTTTCGTAATTAATTATTAAATTTTATATAATAGGGAAAACCTATGTCATTACTCTACAAAGACTCTTTATGAAATTTTTTATTGGGAAGAATCTTATTCTCTTGAAGGTGTAAGTAGATCCTTAAAATCAAATATTTTATATATTTAAATTGACTAACGTTTATCTTCAATTAGTTATTTCTTCCAAGAATTCGTCAATCAATAGCTACAGCGCTCGGAAGACCAAAACAATATCTCAATTGTAAATGTTGTCCCGATGAGTCTGATGATGATGATGAAGAAATAGACCCCGCAGGAAAAATTTCATATACTCAGGATGATAGATGTATATTATATAAATTACTTGTAGGATTTGGTAAGTTTATTCATATAAATGATTGGTTAGAAAGTTTTGAAAGTATTATAAAGAAAGAGAATAGAAATATCACAGATGACGAAACAAAGTAAGTGTATTGTTTTATATTTAAATTATTGTTATATCATCTTAACAAAATTTTTTGTGAAAAATTATTAGGGCGAGATTTTGCAGAGCTTTTGAATCACTTAAAATTGTTGGAGCAATCGCTGACGCTAAAGGAAAGAGAGGTTACGTTAGAAAAATGATTTGGGGAAAACTTTAATATTTTAATAATTATTAAAGTTAACAAATCATTTGAATTAAATGTTTAGAGACTAGATATATAAAAAAAAGTTATATTATATTATATATATATGTATATATTCTCTAAATATGCTTATTAATATATCTTTTTCAATGAACAAAATGTTAATTATAATAAGCAACAAAGTAAAATAAAATGAAATGAAATGAATTAAACATGAATTCTATTTCTTAATATTAAAAATACAAAAATGTTAAGTACATAGTACATTATTAAACACAAATAAAATAATACAAACTAAAGAACCAGATAACTAACCCAAACTGCTTAAAAAATTTATCCGATCACTTTAATTTATGAAATTAGCTAAAAAATTAAAAATATAAATTAAAATATATATTAAAATAACATTTTCTTTTGAATAGAGATTAAAAGTGCATAATTACCAAATTAACTTATATTTATTCTTATTATTCACCAGGTGCTCTTTTAGGAGCTATTAGAGGATTAAGCTGAGCCAAATAAGTAATTGCCCACCTATAAAAAAAATGTTTCAACAAAATTATAATGAATAAGTAAATTTTCTTAAAATATAAAATAAGTAGGATCAAATTCAATAAAAAAATTCAAAAATTATAAGTATGAACGAACTTACATCAAATAAATGCAAACAAGAGTCAGAATAAGCGATGTTCGAATCGTACTAATATTAAAAAAAAAAAAATTAAATAAAGAATTTCATCATAAGGCAACACATTCTCATAAAAATGTTACAAAACAATTTTTGTTTTTCACTGGAACTTAAATTTAATCCAAGAAAATGAAATACGCACGTTTGATTTTGTCCTTTGGGAACACCAAAATAAGAAATAACAACAAGACCCGTAATAGCACAGCCGACCCAAACAATGTTAAAACCACTCATTGTTAATCTTGAACTTTTTTCGTGTAAGCAAAATTAAACGAAAAAATAAAAAAATAAAAAAGGATGAACGTATTTTTTAACAAACGTCTCGTAGATAAATATTTATATTTTAACCTTTGATCTAATCTCCTATTTGATTAGATTCTACATCACGCCAACCTCATATTTGATTGGTTTACATATTTTAGTTAACACCAAGTTTTTAAATAAAGAATTCATTTGAATAATTTATTTTATATACGCAAGCCAATATGTATCAAGATGTAAATTATAATGTATATACTAATATTTATTAATAAAGTCTTTTCGTTTCATTATGATTAGAAAAAAAAATTTTTTTTTTGTATATAAGAATTCACCATCCCTCTTTTTAAAAAGGTGTAAACTTTTATTTTTTTGATTTAATTTTTCTCACATAAAATTCAAGTTCTTTTCCCTCAAGAATATAACCATCACAACGACCACTTTGACCAGGCCGAGAAGATATGATGGCTGTAAAATTTATAATTAAAAAAGGAATATAAAATTGATTACGAATACGATGATAAAACGTGAAAAGTTATATATACCATACAAACGACCTGTAGCAAATTGATCTTCCAAAATAGGATCAACTTTGGCTTCCTCTTTACGAGAATCGATCTTTCGCTTAACATGATTAGAACGCTTTTTGTTCAATTCCTCCGATTCCACCTAATTTCAAAAAACAGTTTATTATTAATTATGCAATTATGAATTTACAATATTATTCGCGTAAAATCGATCTAGATAATAAACGTTATAATAGAAATCATCTCATTTCTTCAATAAATAAAGAAAATGTGTAGAGATATATTAAAGGAAAAAAATTAAATAAAATATAATAAACATTATTACCTGGCCTTCTTTTTTGACCTTCTTGCGACCAAGAGGTTGAGCATAATGTGCTTCATACCATTGTCTAAAAGGAGTAGCATCGATTTGAATCACAGCACCTTTCACAAGTGTGTTTGTTCGAACCAATTCGTTGTTCGAGGCATTATAAACGACAGCTATAAGTCTTGTTTTCTTAGAAACGGCTTCCGATCCCCAAGAGAAATTACCAGCATCAAGACGAAGGGCACGAAACTTTCTGTTGCCGCCACGTACACGAACTTCGTGGATACGTTTAAGACCAAGTTTTGTATTACCGGATTGACGACCCAATTCAAATTTTCTCTTTTTACGATATTGAGCTCGTTTAGCACCGGTATGCGAACGCTTATGGCGGGAATCTCTGCTGATACCTATTCAGGTGTTTAAACGGATCACCAAATAAATTGAGTATTTCTTCATAATTATTCTTAACATATCAATTATAAATGTGATTCAAAAAGGTAATTTTCTAACTATTTGGTTTCAAGAATTATAATAAAAAAAATCTATAAAAACTTCATTGATTGCTTTGAATATTGAAAAATATCCATTATGATTATTAAAATTCGAATAAGATAATATGGATGGATAAAAGGATTACTAACCCATGTTGCCTTATTTTTTTATAAATTCGCAAAAGAGAGAGAGAACTTTTGATAAAAAAGTATGATCTTAAAAATTTTTAAAGAACCCAACAATAATTCCGAATTAACCGAAAAATCATCCTAAGATCAAAAAAATTTGTCATATCACAAAATTTTTTATATAGGCAATCCATCATCTTCTATACGGGAAGCCATTTTACGGATTTTTTCAGTGCAGGAAGTCTAAATTTTTCCCTGCTTGGCCGTTCTTAGCCATGGCTCCATTTTATCAACGTCCTGAGAATGCTCTTAAAAGAGCGGAAGGTATTTATATGTGAAGATCTCTTGATCTTTTTTAAAGTTGGGAGATACTTAGTTGTTGAATTGCATAGGGAAAACAGTTTATATACTTTGGGCATAATCAAAAGTTCCTCACCTGTTTGATTAATATTTTTAGTTTATTATAGTTCTTCCCTTCGTCATTAATTACTCACCTTTTGCTTATTATGATGGATAACATATAAAATATTATAATAGAGTTAATTGCGGTTGGTCAAAATGTTGCTGCGCTTCAATCTCTTCATGAGATTGTTATTTCAAAGCGGTCACGCAGCACGCCTCTCGCTGCATTGGAGCCAATAATGCTTAGATTTGTAGAATTGTGCGTTAATTTAAGAAAAGGAAAAACTGCTAAAGAAGGCTTGCATCAATATAAAAATATTTCGCAAAACACTAGCGTTGCGACTATCGAGGTGAGTGGGTTTTGTAGGTTAAGGAACTCTGTCAAAAAATTATACGCATTATTTTAAAAAATTTAATGTAAATAATTAATAAAGTCAAAACTAAGTTTTCACCATATACTTTTATTCTCCATTTAGCTTGTTATCAAAAAATTTATTGAACTTTCCGAGGAAAAAGTTACTGCAGCTCAAGCAAAAGCGGATCAAATTACTTTGGATGCTATTGATGATCTCGAGGCGTCTGAAACTCCAGAGTCAATCATGCTGAGTACTGTAAGTGGTGAGCAGAGCAAGGATAGAACGGATAGAGCTGTTGTCACTCCTTGGCTGAAATTCTTGTGGGAGGCGTACAGGACTGTTTTAGACATTCTGAGAAATAATGCTCGTTTGGAGATATTGTACCAGGTATGTGATCTAATTAATATATTGCAGTTGAACCAACAATCTTTTGAGAAATTATATTTATAAACTTATATACCATTTTTTAAATTAATTATAGCAAACGGCACATCAAGCATTCCAATTTTGTCTGAAATATACTCGTAAAACTGAATTTCGTCGACTTTGTGACCTTCTTCGTAATCACCTTCAAAACATTGCTAAATATGCACATCAACAGCATTCCATAAATTTAAACGAACCTGAAAGTCTTCAGCGTCATTTGGATACTAGGTTTAATCAGTTAAATGCAGCTGTTGAATTAGAATTATGGCAAGAAGCATTTCGATCTGTTGAAGACATTCATAATTTATTATCAATGTCAAAAAGGCCAGCAAAACCTGTTATGATGGCCAATTATTATGACAAATTAACAAAGATATTTTTGGTTAGCGAAAATTATTTATTCCACGCTGCTTCTTGGAATAGATACTATACTTTAGTTAGAGCTCAAAGGCAAACTATAAGTGATGAAGAAAATACTCGAATGGCATCTTTCGTCTTGTTATCCGCTCTTGCTATCCCTGTTATCACTAGTTCTAAGACTCGTTTACTTGAAATCGACGACAATAAAAGTAAAACGCATAGACTCGCCGCCCTATTAGGAATGAGTCGTTCACCAACTAGATCTGGATTGTTGAAAGAAGCTGTGAGTATTTCATTTAACTAAAGAATATCCTATATATATCCGTTTATATTTCTTAAAATTTTTGTTTTTATAATTTTTTATTGATAGCTCAACAAAAATATTCTACGACGTGTGCGTCCTGAATTAAAAGACCTCTACAACATTCTGGAAGTCCAATTTCATCCCTTATCAATATGTAAAAAGATTGAACCAATCATGACTCACCTTGCTCAAGATGTTGAAATGGCGAAATATGTAAAACCTTTACATCAAGTCATTTTGACTCGTCTTTTCCAACAACTTTCTCAAGTTTATGATACAATTGAACTTGAATTTGTTATCAATCTTGCCTCTTTCGCACCACCTTATAATTATGATGCTGCCACAATTGAAAAGTTTATTATGAATGGTTGTAAGAAAGGAGAGCTTTCGATTAGGATTGATCATACAACAAAAAGTTTGACATTTGAAACGGACCTTTTTGCGGCTTCTAAAAATGCTGATGCCGATGGTGCTAAGTTACAAGCTTCACCAGCGGATCGAATGCGTGATCAACTTTCAAAGCTTGCCAAATGTTTTTATACTACTGTTCATATGATAGACCCCACCATAATCCAAGCCAAGGAAGAAGCAAGAGCTCAAGCTATATCACGCGCTTTTGCTGGTATGGAGGAGGAACATCATAACGCTCTCGCGCGTAAAGCTATTATCGAACGTAGAAGGGAATTAGTAGAAACATTATTGGTGCGTAAAGAAAAGGAGGAACAAAGAGAGCGGCTCATTCGGCTAAAGCGAAGAGATGATGAATTAAGGATGCGTCGATTGGAAGATGTCAAAAGACGTGAGGTAGAGAGGAAAAAACGCGAAATTGAAGCTATACAAAGAGAGGAAGCTCGTAAATTGGCAGAATCTCTGAAGGCTAAGAATTTTAAAGTTCAACCTGAGGTATAAATTATTTAAATTTTTTTTTTTACTAGAAAATTCAATAACACAATTCTTTTACTCAAGGATTTGGAAAATTTGGACACAGACAGTTTGGTTCAACTTCAAGTTGCTCAGCTTGAAAAAGAAAAACGAGAGCTCAATGAACGGCTTAGGGCTATTGCTAAACGTATGGACCATATTGAACGCGCGTTTCGTAAAGAGGAGATTCCTCTACTTGAAAAAGATTATGAGCGACAAAGGAAAGAAGACAAAGCTTATCATGAAGCTGCTCGTAAATTACAACTTGAAACGACTTCCGCTAAGCATGCTGAAGATCTTAAAGTGAAAACCAGGCTAATGAGAATTTTTCCAGATTATCAAAATTATCGTAAAGAAATTGAAGGCAAACAATACGAAGAACTTGAAGAACGTAGAACAACAGCTCAAGCCAAAATTGAGGAAGAAAAGGAGAAACGACGTCAATTATACAGAGCCAAAAAGGAAGAGGAAAGGTTAAGGCAGATAATGGAGGAAGAGGCGAAAATAAAGGCAGAGGAAGAACAACAGCTTCTTAAAGAAAGTGTGTAGATTTTTAAATTTAAATTGTGCAAAGAAAATTTTTTAATCAATCCTTATCCATGAAATCTTTAGATGCGGAACGTACTGAGCAAGAACGTATTACTAAGCTTGAGATTGAAAAGAAGGAATATGAAGCTTTAAAGAGGTAAACATTAAATGATAATTTAATTGTCCTTTATTTTTTTTTCGCAGAGATCCTAAAAGACATAAACAACAGGAAACTTGATGAACAAGCTGCCAAACAAGAAGAAGCTGAACGTTTGGCAGAAGAAAGAAGATTGCAACGCGAGCGTGATGCAGAAGCAGAAAAGGAAGAAAAAGATAACGAAAATGCTCGAAGTCGGGTTCAGAACAAACCTACGGGTGGTGGTTATGTTCCTCCAAACAAACGCCCCGATACTTGGCGTCGTCCAACTGAATCACCAACTACAACTACTAGTCAAGAAGGACCATGGCGCCGAGGTACAACCACACCTATTCGTTCTAATACCGATGAAGGGTTAGAATGGCGTCGGTCTGAATCTGGACGAAGTTCAACAACTGAAGAAAGAGTTTGGCGTCGATCCGAATCAGGCCGAGGAGCTTCAACTGAGGATAGTCGACGTCGTATTTCAACATCATCATCATCGCGGGAAGAACCAAGTGTCAAACAAGAAACTCCAGGTCCATGGAGACGCAGTGGACAGCCATCTTCAGACCGTGGGGATAGCAAATGGAAAAGGAGAGAAGATTCTTGGAGAAAGGATACTGAAGAGTTAGATTCAACGTCTCCATCTTTATCTAAAGGACCTACGCGTATTTTGAAGTCAGAAAGTAGTTGGAGATCACGTAATAAACAATCAGAATCTTCGGTAATGGAGAGAACTTCATCCGGACGAGAAATATGGACTTCTACTTCACAAGAACAAAAACTCGGAGATGGACAAGAGGAATTTATTGACGAACCCGAAGAGGATCAAACGATGTCACATGAACGTGATGGTTCATGGGTTAAGTCTGAAGATAATTCCAAAACGCAATCTTCAGTTTCGTCTAGTAAACAAAATGCTCCCGATGAACCAGATGATGACGGGTTTATCCCCGTTACCAAAGGCAAGCGACGCAGTAAAAATCAATCTGGACATGGATATGACTTGGAATAAAATTATTCTTACATATTGTGATTTAAGTAGTAATTATAACCTTCGTTTTTATAATTTTTATTTTTATTTTTATTTTTTTTTAGTTTATGTTTATTTCTTGGGAATTAAAATTATTTTAGGTTGCATAAATTTCTTTTGAAAAATATATGTATATATTTTATACTATCTACCATAACAAAATTATACTATATTAACATTAATGGCGGAAAAAAAATATTATCCATCATAGATAATAAAATTATAATTAAAATTAAAATATGTTAATAATAATTGAGATTATGTCAAAAAACTCTATAATCTTGTATTACCAATTTACAAATTAGATTATGTTGATTCAAATTTAGAACTTAGGCGTAAATCACAAAAAATTAACCTACTAAAAAGATAAAAAGATCAATAACCGATCCTAATTTTAAGCCATTTTATATATATATTGTTGCTTTGAATTTTGAATTTTTCACCTATTTCAAGATGCCGGAACCAACCAAGGCACAAATTAGCGAAATATTCAAAAAATTAACCTCAGTTAGGGCGAATAAAGTACAAATTCACTTTAAAATATTAATATTCATAATAATCGTTTCATTGCAATCTAATATAAAAACGCTAACTTTTACAGGTGTGTTTCGATTGTCAAGCTAAAAATCCTAGTTGGTCAAGTGTTAGCTTTGGAATATATCTTTGCTTAGATTGTTCTTCGGTACATAGAAATCTTGGGGTTCACATCAGTTTTGTGAGGTATATGATCTATAATTTGCAAATTAATATTTCTATTCAATACCATCAATTAATTAACACTTGAAATGTGAAATAATTAATTAGATCGATTTCACTAGATTCATGGACATGGGATCAATTACGAATTATGAAAGTTGGGGGGAATCAAACATTTAAAGAATATGTAATTAATTCCGCAAAACGTCCTGAATTATTGAATAAAGATGCAAAATCAAAATACGATTCAGATGTTGCAAAAAAATACAAGAAAGTAATCGGAGAGCGAGCCAAGGAGGATACTACAACGTAAGTTCGGCGTAGGATCCAAGTGATTTGTCTCTTTTATCAATACATTAATTACTTATATGCTTTCTCGTGTAGAAATCCTGTTTTCATCATTGAACATCAAGAATGGGAGCAGGCAAATGAGAAAAATGACGATTTTTTTGAATCTTTTGTTCAAGAAATTGATAAAAAGCCATTATCAGAAATCAATAGTTCTAAACTTGAAATAATTAGTGATAAAACTACAACTTCAAATGGACCTATTATAGTGAAATCAAAAGCAACTACGAGATCAAATATTTCAGCACGTGGAAAAGGATCTAAAAAATCAAAGATGGGTTTGGGTGCAGTAAAACTTCAAAAGGTTGATATTGAAGAAGCTGAACAAAAAGCCAAAGAAGAAGAGGAATTAATTAAGTCATTGGCAAGAAGTGAAGAAGAAATTGATACTGGATCACAACGTAAATCAGAAGAACAACGGTCTTTTAGTTCTCGATTAGTGTATAACGATGATACACAATCCACATCAGGAAGTGGTTTAGACACAGATGACAAAAAAAAGAGTGATGACATTGAGAGACTTGGTATGGGTTTCTCAAGGTTAGGATTTGGAACTACCCCAAGTATTTCAAAACAACCGTCCACAAAATCCGAAGAATCCACAAATTCACGATATGTTGGATTCGGTTCTAATACTTCAAATAATTCAAGTCGTCAAGTTCAAAATGGTAAGATAAGACGGAATTCCTTTTGTTGACTTTTCTCAACACACATCCTTTAACTTATTATAACTATAGATAATGATTATGCGCGACAAAAATTTGGAAATCAAAAAGCTATTTCTTCAGATCAATACTTTGGTCGCAATGATTATGATCCAGATGCTTTATCAGCTGCTTCAGATCGATTAAAACAATTTGAGGGAGCTAATTCTATATCTTCCAGTCAATATTTCGGTAGAGATGATGATGATATTCAAAGAGAGAGTCTTGATTTAACTGGAATAGAAATAAACGCGAAAGATTTTGCACGTAAATTTATCGGTCAAGCTAGTTCTGATTATGAGAGTATTAAAAATGTTGTTGAAAAAGGTAGCGAAAAATTAAAAGACTATCTAGCCGACATGCAGGTTTGTAATTTTTATGATATTTATTACAAATTTAACGGGTCTAATTTTTAACTAAATTAAATTTTTTTTTTCCAGAATCGTGTCAACTATTCTTGAGGCATTTTTCAAATTATTATAAACTTTAAAAAAATATTTTTTTAGATAATTAGATCCCGTTTTTTTCTTGATTTATTTCTGTATTCTATTTATATTTAATCATATGGACTTTTATTGTTAAAAAAAAAGGTAGTATCAGATTACTTCAAGGCTAAAAAACGTTTAATAAATTCTTAATCGTATGTTGTTGCCATTTGAGTAACATGATTTGCTAGTTTTTCTTTTGTAAAGATTACCCCGAATTTCAAAAATTGTATTTTATTAAAATTTTTTAATAAAATTTTTTTTTAAACTTAAGCATGATTTGATAAAATTAAGTATAATATTTTTTTTTAATAGTAAAATCATTAAATTTTCATATATGGAAGGTTTGCTAGGAAAATGTATTTTCAAAGTATATTTTGAAATGAATTATTGCTTTGTAATAAAATTATAATATGAATTGATATTGTATTAATTAAAATTCAAGTATTGATATCAGTATTATACAAATTGGTAACATATTGAAAATTAGACTTTGTATATTATACAAATTGGTAAATTATTTAGAAAATTTAGACATTACATATAATACAAATATAATAAATGCAATTTAATATTATTATATATAATACAAATCAGTAATGTTTTTAATAAATTTTCAAATTAATAATAATACACATTTAAATTTAAACATAACTTATAATACCATTTTATTTGATATCAAATTAATAATAATATATTCCTATAAAAAATTTGCATACATATTTTATTATTTTAAATATGTTTTATTTATGTTTTTAAAAATTCCGTATTATATTTTCTTATATTTTATAAAGAATTATTTTTTTAGCAATTTTTTAAAAAAATATATAAGGAATTGTTAATTAATAATATATAAAGATAAATAAAAGATAAATATGTTTTTATTATATTAAAATTATAAAGTTTTAACCAATAAATTATAAGATTTTAACTAATAAATTATACGTTTTTATCCAGAAATAATATTTGAATTAATATCAAAATAATCCAAATTAAATTATCAATATAAAACAATTATATAAAAATATTACTAGCAAAATTATGAAATAAATCATAAGAATAATCAGCTATTAAAATCACTTTATAAAATATAATAAATTAGCTATTATTGATCTATATTAATTTTTTACTAAATTAAACTTAAGTATAAAAATTTTTTTCAGCAGATTAGCTATTAAAAAAAGACATTATATTTCAATTCTTCTCAATGCAATAATTTCAACAAACTAAATTTGGTTAAATAGATCAAAAAATTTGATTTATAAGATTATAAATAATTTAGTTAGACTAAATTTGATATATATGATATAATTTTATAGATTGAATTTTTGCTAATCTATTATCCAATTTTAACGAATTTTGATGAATTTTAATTGTTTAAGTTAGCATACTTAAAAAAATTTTTATCAAGCAATAAATTTTTGTTAAATTACATAAAAGCTTGAATTTCATCTTAATAATTATACTTCAAAATCTTTTCTAAGTTTTGAAATTTAAAATAAATATAACTATATTTCTAACATTCATAATTAATGAGCAATAAGCTTACTTTTAAAGGTAAATAACACTAATTGTTTTTAATTTATTACATATTATATAAAAAATTTTATAATTTTATTTTAGATATTTGATATATAATGACTTCTATAATTATTGCATCACTTCATTTAAATTTTTAAATTATAATATTGTAATATCATTAAATCTATTTATCATACAATAAAAAAAAATTTATTAATTATTAAACCTCAGACTTTCATTATTATTTATTAAAATTTAATTAGCATATTATTAACTTTTCAAAAAAAAATCTTAAATTACTAAAACTTTGTGATGCAATACTTTTAACATATAGGTGATGTACTATTAAAATTGAGATACAGACTATATGATTTACTATGTTTTGTATCTCAATTTTAATAGCTATATTAAAAAATTTTTTGATTACATATTTTTCAATAAAATTTCTAACTAATCCTATTTGAATTTTTTTAAAACACAATTACTACTTCATATATTTTCCACTAGAATTAAAAATATTTTTAATCCATTATGGTATTATATTAGTTGATTTTAAATAAATATCAATATCAATCTGATTTCATACTAGTTGGATTTTATTTCACAAATCTTTTATATTGGTAATATTATCAGAAAACTATTGTAAATGACAATTAACTTTATTTTCAATAGGATTTAAATCTGACGATTATGCTAACTAATTCAAAATCTTAATATTCACTAGTCGAATAATGATAAATAGAGAACCAATCAGGTTAAATCTGAATTAGCAGATTTGATCTGATTAGTCCCTTATTTTTTTGTTTTTTTAGAATCAGGTGATCCCAATTGATAACGAATAATGACGCATATAGGATACAATAAAGTTCTAATTAGAGTGTTATAAAAATATCAATAGGGTTATTCTTATTGATATCAATTTATTAATATTCAGTTTCCAATCAAATTATCCCTAAGTTATCAATAAGGACATTCTTATTGTTACCTTTTATAGAAATAGCTTATCCCAATTAATAGCATTTTAACAAATTTTTATAATACAAGTAATTTTATAATTGTCTATTTTATATAAGTAAATAATCCTGATTAATTATAATAAAAAGAATTTTATTATTGATATGATTTACATTAATATAATACTTTAATTATAAGAAAAATACATTTATTAATAATAAGCTTCTGATTGTTACAAATTTATTAAATTTAATTATTTGCTATATTTGATAAG